TGTTCACCATCTTAGCTGTAGAGGGCGCAGCATCACTGGCCCTCATGTGGGATCTGAACCGGGCCCTGCTGCTCAGAGCTGGCATCACAAGCCAACTCTTAACCAACGCGCCTCTCGGCCGGCCCAGGCATCAGTATTTTTAAGTGTTCCCAGGTGACTCCAATGTGCAGCCAAGTTTGAGAATCCCTGATTCAGAATATTTGCCTGTCTTCTCTCATAATCCTGTGCTCTTGGTTGATCTCTCTTTCAACCTCCTAGTTCAAAAAGTCTGAGAGAGTTTGTGGGTAGAGGTTAGGTTGTGAGTGGTGAGAGGGTAAAGGGCAAGATTCAAGCTGAATCTCTTTGCCACTTAATTCCTGGCCATCATTTATCCAGCACTCTGGAAGTAGTTAAAGGGCAATGGAGAAACCTCTAGACCTATTAGTATATATTTCCAAGGGGAAGATTCTTGGACCAGTGTCAAGCTTCTTTTTTATCTCCATTCTTCCCAGAGGTTTCCAAATATTGTTTCAAGATAGGGATTTCAGCTTTTATTGTTTTCCAACATTTCATTCATGTGGCATGTGCAAGTCAAAAAAACAATGGAAAGTTGGAAGCCATTCTCTTTTAATTAGCAGAGGTCTCAATGGCTGAAATTAATTGTCATTAACAGTGTCAGCACAGCTCTGGAATGTTAATTGCTGTTATTGGTCCCCAAGCCTGCTCACCTAACTGATAAGGACTGTTAATATGTCATCACTGCAGTTAGAAACTCATAAAAGACTTTTGGCCTACGTCTATTCAATGTCATTGGGTAGATTAGAAGATCAAATATGCCTCCCTTTGAAGGAAATGTTCAATCTGAGCTCAAATGTTAAAAGCAGAAGAGTAATATAAAATTCCAGACAGAGCTGCCTCCCCTTTGACATGTCTTACAGTCATGTCAGAGCAGGGGTGGCCTGTAACCCCCATTTCTTTCAGCTCCAGCCCCATCTTGTTGCTGCATCCTTGAAATGGAGGGAAAATTGTTCTGTTTGTGCTAGGTTAGGTCCCAGGTGCTTAGAGTAAAACCTTCTAAGTCCGGAGTGCTCTGGCGCCTAGTGTTAGGATCTTTCATTTTATACACACACACACACACACACACACACACACACACACACA